TGTAGGCTAGCCTGACTTCCCACACCTGCAGCAGTGGATGGCATTGGGAGGCGTGGTAGGCTGGTGTTATGGACAGGGGTTGTAGCCACTGGCCGGCTGCCGGCTGTTGGTAAATTCCCAGGATCAGAGCCAACTCCCAGGGCCGGTAGGTCCACCTCCACTGGGGTAAATCTGTTTGATAGCCGGATCAGATCTTCCAGGATAGATGGAGGCCGACCAGACTGCCTCCCTCCCGACTTCCGAAGCCTGGGTAGTGACCAGTCTCTCCCCTGGGCAGCGGAGTTGAGTTTACCATCTGCCCGGTGGAGTGGAACAGATCAGCGCTGCACGACTCATTGGCACCCTGGCTGTAGGAGGCACTCAAGACCAAGATGCGATTTGCTTGGGATGCAGCTAGGTCAGTGAAGTTTGAAAGCAGGTCCTGCTTTTGTCACAGCTGAGCTAACAACCAGAGAATCTCTTTCCGAAGCTGCTTGATGGTGATGCATTTAGGGCAGACAAACCCCCATCCATCGATCAGTTTCACCCTTTCTCTCTCCTCTTGCATGGAAATCATCTCGCACCTATCGCATTTGGCCTGCTAGCCAGTAGGATCCAAGCTCAGGTCAGGTTGGAGTGGTCCCAGCCACAGGGGCTAACCACGATGCGAGCTTGTAACTAAGGGTGAGTGGTACGATGAAAACACAAATCCAATCGCTAACCCAAAACGAAGCGCCGTAGATTAGGCATTAAACAGACTAAAACAAACTAAGAATTCACATGCCAAATGAATCGAAAAACACTGGCAACACACCAATCAGACATATTTTGCCTCGAGTGTTGATTTGAACACGTACACATGCTGATGCAATGTCATGCATGTATGGGTTTTACACAATATGTACATATGTACTATTTTAATTTGATCACTCTGTTGTCGCAGAGAATTTGCATTTGTAGTATATTAGAGGTTTAAAAAGGCTCCTAAAGTTTGATTTAATTCCACTTTCAAATGTCAGACTTGATCCTAACCAAAAATGTATCAACCCCTACAAACATTTATATTTATTATAATCTACTTAATAATTCACATTTCCTGTTGCTGCAGGTTTATTTTCCTGTTCTGAGAAAGTGGTCAAATTAAGAAAGGGGGCAAATACTTTTTCACAGCACTGTAAACAGTGCCTTCGGAAAGTATTCAGACCCCTTCACTTTTTCCACATTTTGTTAGGTTACAGCCTTATTCTAAAATTGATTAAATGTTTTTTCCCCTCATCAATCTACACACAATACCCCATAATGACAAAGCAAAAACAGGTTTTTATACATTTTTGCTACTTTATAAAAAAAATATTACTTTACTCAGTACTTTATTGAAGCACCTTTGGCATCGATTACAATCTTCTTGGGTATGAAGCTTGGCATACCTGTATTTGGGGAGTTTTCTGCAGATCCTCTCAAACTGTCAGGTTGGATGGGGAGTGTTGCTGCACAGCTATTTTCAGGTCTCTCCAGAGATGTCCGGGCTCTGGCTGGACCACATAAGGACATTCAGAGACTTGTCCCGAAGCCGCTCCTGCGTTGTCTTGGCTGTGTGTTTAGGGTTGTTGTCCTGTTGGAAGGTGAACGTTCACCCCAGTCTAAGGTCCTGAGGGCCCTGGAGCAGGTTTTCATCAAGGATCTCGCTGTACTTTGCTCTGTTCATCTTTGCCTCGATCCCGACTAGTCTCCCAGTACCTGCCGCTGAAAAACACCCACACAGCATGATGCTTACACCACCATGCTTCACCGTAGGGATGGTGCCAGGTTTCCTCCAGACGTGACGCTTGGCATTCAGGCCAAAGAGTTCAATCTTGGTTTCATCAGACCAGAGAATCTTGTTTCTCATGGTCTGAGAGTCTTTAGATGCCTTTTGGCAAACTTCAAGCGGGTTGTCATGTGCCTTTTACTGAGGAGTGGCTTCTGGCTGGCCACTCTACCATAAAGGCCTGATTGGTGGAGTGCTGCAGAGATGGTTGTCCTTATGGAAGGTTCTCCCATCTACACAGAGGAACTCTAGAGCTCTGTTAGAGTGACCATCGGGTTCTTGGTCACCTCCCTGACCAAGGCCCTTCTCCCCCGATTGCTCAGTTTGGCCGGGCGGCCACCTCTAGGAAGAGTCTTGGTGGTTCCAAACTTCTTCTATTTAAGAATGATGGAGGCCACTGTGTTCTTGGGGACCTTCAATGCTGCAGACATTTTTTGGTACCCTTCCCCCAAAAACAAAAAAATGTATGCACTCACTAACTGTAAGTCGCTCTGGATAAGAGCGTCTGCTAAATGACGGAAATGGAAATGGAAATGGAAATCTGTGCCTTGACACAGTCCTGTCTCGGAGCTCTATGGACAATCCTCATGGCTTGGTTTTTGGTCTGACATGCACTGTCAACTGTGGGACCTAATATAGAATAATGTCCAATCAATTAAATTGACCACAGGTGGACTCCAATCAAGTTGTAGAAACATCTCAAGGATGATCAATGGAAACAGGATGCACCTGAGCTCAATTTCGAGTCTCATAGCAATGGGTCTGAATACTTATGTAAATAAGGTATTTCTGTATTTCTGTATTTTTATAAATTTGCAAAATTTCTAAAAAAACAGTTTTTGCTTTGTCATTATGGGGTATTGTGTGCAGATTGCTGAGGATTCTTCTTTTTAAATCCATTTTAGAATAAGCCTGTAACGTAACAAAATGTGGAAAAAGTCAAGGGGTCTGAATACTTTCCGAAGGCACTGTATCTGTACATTTGAACAAATTGTACATGCATGCCTACGAGGAGATAATATTGTCATGTGCATGCATTATGTCTGTTAACCAGGAATCTTAGATTACCCAATTGTTCGAGGATTAACATCACCTCCCAATCTAATATGATTGACCTATATCTGATGGCAAATTGGTGCTTTCCGCTATCATGACAGAAATTGCCCATTATACAACAGTGACAGACTGTGACTACAGTACAGTACGTGCTCATTTCTAATAATGATTAGATATTGTCATTATTTGCGGCACAGTGAATTCAAACTACGAGGTGAGCTCAGGGAGAGGGAGCCATTGTGCCATGTGCAATGAGTGGTGAAGGAGAGGCGAGAGAGTGACAGAACTGGTCTCACCCTGACTATCACATTACCTCAGTGCCCACCATTAAACATGAGTCTGGCCTGGCCTCTCTCCACGGCCCCTTCAGCACGCCCTCTCCCTCCTCTCTCTTATTCTTAAAGGGACACACCCTCACTACAGCACACAACGCCATTATTTTCCACATCACAACTATTGTCCTTGATTCAGTGAACTGGTGACGTGTGCTCTAGGTAATAGGGTTTGAAGTGCATCCAGTTATACAGTTTCAAATAGTACGGTTTCATATGGACTCAAAAGGGTAGGCTATTGTACTTGACTGAAATCATGTTTGTGAAGTCATACTAACACTTAACACATGCCTTGCGAGCAAAAGTGCGTATCTGTTTATCAGAAAGCAGTTTTGTAGTTCCGTAAGCAGAAGAGGCGCTCCAGTGTGCCCATTATACCAGACTAGCTGCATGTTTAGAATGGAAGCCTGCCGACCGACATCGTGCCTAATCTTTCCCCTGGGGTTTATGCATTCACATTAGCATAATGCATACTTTGTCATGCGATCAAGTCAGTGGCCTACATGTACCATTAACTGGTCAACTGAACAATGTCACCTTTTATTTGAGGGTATTTTCATACATATCTATTTTACCGTTTAGAAATGAACTGAACAAATAAACCCACCCTTCAAGTGTATGACAGTCTGTACATTCAGAGAGGGACATGGGTAATATCATTCACAATGTGGGGATATTGTTGCATTATCATGAAGAAATACACATCACACCACCTCCTCAGCAGTTATTTAAAAAAATGTTTTAGTCATTTAGCAGATGCTCTTATCCAGAGCGACTTACAGGAGCAATTAGGGTTAAGTGCCTTGCTCAAGGGCACATCGACATATTTTTTAAATAGTCAGCTCTGAGATTCGAACCAGCAAACTTTCAGTTACTGGCCCAACACTCTAACCGCTAGGCTACCTGCCACCCAGTGCCCAGTTATCTAAAGAGGCATTACCTCAGACAATGCAGTACGGCAACTAGAACGCTGAAATTGCACGTTGAAATGAGCTCTTGCACCATTTTTTGTAATAACTCCTTTTATGGCCTCTGAAAAATCAGTGATGTGCAGCTTTCTAACCGGTTTGGCTGGCTCTGCCATTTTGAGAGCTGGGGCAATCAGGTGCCTGAAGCAGAAGAACAATACTATCCTTTCTGTTTGCGTTGTGTGATGCTTTGTTGTGTCTTTGTTCTGCTGTGTCAGACAGTCTTCCAAGAGTGGACCTCACTGACTGACAGCTTTGGGAAATGCGGTCTCTCTTTCTCTCTCGCTCTGTGACACGTCCGAGGAGTATAGTCTGGCCAACAAAACTAGGCCACAGCGTGATTTCACATTTGTTACACAGCCAATAGCATACAGCCTGTCCTGTCACAATGTGCATCTATTTATCACAGAGTCCCACGGGCGTTAGCGCACTCTCAACTTGTCCGAGCGCTGAATACAGCGCATTCACTGTAATATATGTGCAGTATTTCAACACATTACATGCAGTGTATTCACACAATAACTACATGATGTAAGCAAATGTTAATAATCCATAAAAATGGTGCAAATGTTTTCAGCATTTTTGTAGACAGTATTTTTGAAGGCAATCTGTTTGTTTTCTGTTGTAGGCTAGATGTCCAAAGCTGAGAGAATTGACTGTTTTTATGAACCGTGCACCTGTAGGATCACAAACTGGAGGTTGAGGCAGAGATCAGGCTTTGAAGTGGAATGAAAGAGTGAGGGGCACCTGTCGACTTGAGTCAGTTATTTACCACTGTGATAGTAAATAAACAGTACACCTGATATCAGTTTACCAAGCCTTAGGTAGACAGAGAAGGGAGGGTAGAGGCCAGGGGAGATGGGAGGGGAGAGGCCAGGGGAGATGGGAGGGAAGAGGCCAGGGGAGAAGGGAGGGTAGAGGCCAGGGGAGAGGGGAGGGGAGAGGCCAGGGGAGAGGGGAGGGAAGAGGCCAGGGGAGAAGGGAGGGTAGAGGCCAGGGGAGAAGGGAGGGGAGAGGAGAGTGGCTTGGGGGAGAGACATTAATCTTGCATCTGTTTCCGTTTCACACCCTGGATACCATTTGTGTTTGCTTTTGTGTGTGTGAATGCGTGTGTGTGTGGATGTGTGTGTGTGTATGCACGTGTGTGTATCCATGTATGTATGTGTGTGCATGCGTGTGTATGCATGTGTTTGTGTGTGTGTGATTGCTTGCGTGTGACTCAGCTCTGAATGGGTCTATTGTAACACAGGGCTGCATGGGGAGATAGATGGGAGAAAGGCCTGTTAGAAACAGCAAAGAGGTAGTGAGCACAGAGAGGGACAGTATGGCAACACAGCTGGGGTTCCGAGATACAGGTCAGGGCTTTGACCAAGAGAACGTGTGCTGTGTCCTCAACATGCCTTTTAGTGGACACACAGCTTTGGGGGTATGATCTTTTGTGTACTTTGTGTGTGTCACTATCTACATGTTTGTGAGTGTGTATTTGACTAAGGGTATTTTGTGTGTTTGTGTTGAGACGTTTATGAAGCAGCTCAGCTCCACCTCTCAGCTCTTATGCTCTAATTCATCATGACTCTGTGCTCATTGCTCATGTCTCTCCTCTCCTTCTTTTGTTGGCAGAAACAGGGGCCTTCAGTTGCCTGAGTCGAGGAAACAGAACAGAATATCGCCCAGAGAGAAGGAGGCAGACAACGCACGAAGGACTGACGTGGATTACTGCATTCACAAAGATAGGGAATGGCGACGTGAGAGCCATGAGGGAGGAGAGCGAGGGGGTTTTGTTGCATCTACACATCATTCCCTGAACACTGTTTCTACTAACACCTCCCTCCCCCTTCCTGCTCCACAAGCTTCCTAAGGGGGGTAACCCCTGATATGACCCCCAGCCCCCGTGGCATCAGGTAGTCCTCCCACCATGTCCTGGTAGAGCTCTATGCCAACTCTAGTCCCAAAGCCTGGGATAAACCCACAGAAGGCCAACGGACAGCCCCTAGACCACGAGGATAATTAAATATTCCTGAGTCATTCCTGCTCTGTGGTTCTCATTTCTCTCTGTGTGCTCTGAGTGGCAGGTTTGAAGGAAAGTGTCTCTCTCTGTCTTCCCATCAAGCCCCTGCAGCATTAAGGATTCAAACATAATCCTATCCCTGCTCTGACATACATTCCTTTCTTCCTTTGCCTAGTCTCTCACCTCTGCTCCTTTTGATATTTCTGATTATTTCGGTTTGATCCCAGTCACGCCACTTTTGCCACCCGGCACGTTCTCCTCTGCGATCACCACGTTTTCCTCAGTGTTCACCGCGTGGCAGACGACCATGGGTTGCCGGCAGAGTTCGGAGGAGAAGGAGGCGGCGCGGCGCTCCCGGCGGATCGACCGTCACCTGCGCTCGGAGAGCCAGCGGCAGCGGCGTGAGATCAAGCTCCTTCTGCTGGGCACCAGCAACTCTGGCAAGAGCACTATTGTCAAGCAGATGAAGATCATCCACAGTGGAGGCTTCAATCTGGACGCCTGCAAGGAATACAAGCCCCTCATCCTCTACAATGCCATTGACTCGCTCACACGGATCATCCGCGCCCTCGCCACGCTCAAGATCGACTTCCACAACCCTGACCGCGCCTACGACGCCGTGCAGCTCTTCGCCCTGACCGGGCCGGCCGAGAGCAAAGGGGAGATCACAGCGGAGCTGCAAGGGGTAATGAAGCGCCTGTGGGACGACTCAGGGGTGCAGGAGTGCTTCTGCCGCTCCAACGAGTACCACCTGGAGGATAACACTGCCTACTACCTGAACGACCTGGACCGCATCTCCTCCAACGAGTTCATCCCCACAGTGGAGGACATTCTGCGCTCCCGCGACATGACCACGGGCATCGTGGAAAACAAGTTCACCTTCAAGGAGCTCACCTTCAAGATGGTGGACGTGGGGGGGCAGCGCTCAGAGAGGAAGAAGTGGATCCACTGCTTCGAGGGCGTAACCGCCATCATTTTCTGTGTGGAGCTAAGTGGCTATGACCTCAAGCTCTATGAAGACAACCAGACGGTAAGGGAAGCCATGGGGCAACGCATGCAACATTAGCCATTACACAACCAGTCAGTTCCTGTTCACACTCTGTCATCACACCCTTGGGGCGTGCTGTTATCTATGGCACTGTGGTGTTCTCCTCTTCACACTTCTCAGGGTGGATTACAAGGTCACTTCTTACCACACTACTTATTTCCGCAGAATTTAATATACTGGCCCAAGTTGACCTCTGGCATGTGTCCTCAGAATGTTGGAGGTAAATTATCAAGTAACAACCCCTATCTAACCATTCAAAGAGGAACATATATCTGACATTCTGTGTAGATATGATATTTATACCGAGTGAAAGCATGAAAAGGGAAGACTGTATTCATAGATAGAGGGCTAACTGTTGTGAGAAGCATTGAGAGCAGATAACGCAAGAGCACATGAGTCTGATGTTATCTCTGCTGCGGCATTGCTACTTCTATACAACCTTCTGCATTTCCCTGAATCCTACTTCTCATAAAACAATATAGAATGCTTCCGTCATGGTCTACAGGAAGTTTCCTTATCTACAATATATTTCCCGGAAAACATGTTAGTTACAGAGAGGTTTGGATCTTAGCTGTTAGAGAAAGGAAGGGAAAGTTGCTGCTGTGACAGATAACAACAGTGCATCGCGTTCTTGTTTGTAACCTTTAGCTATACTCTACCTTCCTGTGGCAATTGTGGCCTGGAAATTCACGTGTAACATAAATAAGACAAGATGTACTAGGTCCTGGCTGAGTTAGTACATGAAATCAATTAGTTTTAGTGAGTTATAAATACATTATTCAGAGGAAAATGCAGTTAGGTGTTAATTGAGTTCACAGTGTAAGGTGTGAGGGTGTACCTGTGAGAATTAGCAGCTCACGAGGGCACTGTTCAGCTGTGGGACGTTGCAGGTGCAGGAACAATTGACTTCCTGGATGAGATGGGGGGAAATGAAGAGAGAGAAGGAGAGGAAGTCAGGAATGGAGAAGGAAAAAAGGGATTGTTAGGAAATCAGAGCCCCACTCCTCCCCTCCCCTCCCCCGTCTCTGAGACCTCAGCCAGTGGACATTATTTACGAACTCTGGTTGTGGTTGACAGCCATAGCTGATTTGGGGCCTTATCAGTCAAATGTATGTTGGAACAGTTTACACAGCTTTCCCCATTATTGCAAGAGGCTTTTTCAACCCAATGTGTTTTGAAGGTTTGAGAGATGGGCATGAATAATATGAATACTATTTTAATTGTTAATTAGATCCTGTGTAATGTTGATAGACCTACACAGTGGTTAGTATTCCAATCAACGTCATATGAAGAGTTGTGTTTAGAGAAACATTTTGTTCTGGTGCAAACTAAGTTCTGGTGAATTTCAAGCCTTCAAGCACATCATATGATGTATGATGTTAGGAATGACGAAAACAGCTCCAGCAGTATTGGTGTCTGACTCTGACGCATGTTTTTCTGTTAATACACAACATGGCCAAAAGTAGGTGGACACCCCTTCAAATTAGTGGATTCGGCTATTTCAGCCACACCCGTTGCTGACAGGTGTATGAAATCGAGCACACAGCCATGCAATCTCCATATACAAACATTGGCAGTAGAATGGCCTTAGTGAAGAGCTCAGTGACTTTCAACGCGGCACCGTCATAGGATGCCACCTTTCCAACAAGTCAGTTGGTCAAATTTCTGCCCTGCTAGAGCTACCCCGGTCAACTGTAAGTGCTGTTATTGTGAAGTGGAAATGTCAAGGAGCAACAACGGCTCAGCCGCGAAGTGGTAGGCCACACGAGCTTACAGAACGGGACTGTCGAGTGCTGAAGCGTGTAGCGCGTAAAAATCGTCTGTCCTCGGTTGCAACACTCACTACCAAGTTCCAAACTGCCCCTGGAAGCAACGTCAGCACAAGAACTGTTCGTTGGGAGCTTCATGAAATGGATTTCCATGGCCGACAGCCGCACACAAGCCTAAGATCACCATGCGGAATGGCAAGCGTCGGCTGGAGTGGTGTAAAGCTTGCCGCCGTTGGACTCTGGAGCAGTGGAAAACGCGTTCTCTGGAGTGATGTCACGCTTCACCATCTGGCAGTCCGACGGACTAATCTGGGTTTGGCGGATGCCAGGAGAACGCTACTTTGCCCAATCCCATAGTGCCAACTGTAAAGTTTGGTGGAGGAGGAATACATTTACCATTTACATTACTTTTTCATTTAGCAGACGCTCTATCCAGAGCGACTTACGTTAGTGACTACATATTTTTTAATGCCCCCGTGGGAATCGAACCACAACCGGCGTTGCAAACGATGCTTCAATGAGCTACATCTACGGCCTGCACATCCCTAACCTGACACCCCATTGTGCGCCCCCAGGGAGTTCCGTGCGGGACGCTGAAGGCCTGATTCGAACCAGGTCCTAGTCAGCAATTAGCCTGCAATCGTCTTGGCCACGCGCCACCAGGAATATGGCTGGGGCTGTTTCATGTGGGCTAGGCCCTTTCGTCAGACAAATGCCCCCATGCACAAAGTGAGGTCCATACAGAAATGGTTTGTCGAGATCGGTGTGGAAGAACTTGACTGGCCTGCACATAGCCCTGACCTCAACCCCATTGAGCACCTTTGGGATGAATTGGAACGCTGAATGCTCGTGGCTGAATCGAAGCAAGTCCCCGCAGCAATGTTCTAACGTCTAGTGGAAAGCTTTCCCAGAAGAGTGGAGGCTGTTATAGCAGCAAAGGAGGGACCAACTCCATATTAATCCCCATGATTTTGGAATGAGATGTTCGACGAACAGGTGTCAACATACTTCTGGTCATGTAGTGTATCTTGAAACCGTAACATCAAATCCTCACACACAATGGACACAAATCCTCGGGTAGCATTATGTCTCAATGTGTCTCATAAACCTTTGAAGCCAGATTAGAATGCGTCTGAAGACAGGCAGGGATTGGCAAGGAGACTAGCAGGGAGACATGGAGGGAGTCAGGGAGAGAGACAGCATTAGGGCTGGCCCAGATTCTCAGTGGCTGGCCTGCAGCCTATCTCCCCAAGATCCCCCTATACCTCCTCTGAGGGAGTTGACACCGCTCATTCTCAAATAGCAATCTCTCTCTCTTCCCACTCTCAAGAAGGAATGACTCGGTCTTAGACAGGAATATATTTTGAGGTATTAATTTTTTTTTGTGTGTATCGGTGCAGAAATCTTTCTTTGATGGACTGTGAGACAAGAAGGAACGCCTGGCATTATTTCTAGGCAGTTTACTGATGCCATTGGTTTTTGTCATTGTATGTGTATGTTTGATGGTCTACGTTCAACTGTTATTAATCAAAAGGGACGGTGTTGGATGGGTTGAGGTTGAAAGACATTGTGAAACAGAGGGGGAATGGGACTGCTAAGGATAGAGGAGTCTTTAGGTTAGAGATAGGGAGAGAGCGGGAAACAAATGATCAAGATAAAGCTACCTAGAGAGCCATAGCAGAACTGGGAGAAGAGTGACTGAGTGCTGAGGTTTCTCCACAAAGAAAAAGCGCTGGATCTACAATTACATGAGTAATGGAGCGGGTATGGCACTATAGTATAACCTACTCAATTCACTAACAACAGTCATCATTCAACCATGCCCTATAACAAAATGGACCCAGTTGCAATGGTTACCTTAAACTGCCATATTTCACAGCTGTTTTAACATCCTTTGCGCAATTGGCTGATGTTGAATGTAAAACATGGATTATATAATTTTTTTTGCCAAGGCACGCTGGTACCTGATTGGATTAGATAGCCCATGTGATGTTTCTCTGCCATTGACAGACAAGACCAAATGATGAACAAAATGATGTAACAAGAGCATAGCTAATTGTTCAGCTTTGGAGTATTGGTTTCTGTGAGCTGTAATGACTTATAGTGCTTGCCTAGTGCTTGATCTAGGGGAGAGGTGAGAAGGGGAGAGGAGAGAAGATAAGAGAGAGTGGGTAGGGTGTGTGTCTGCCTGGAGATTTTATCTGCAGGGAAAGGACAGGACAGGTCCAGAGGGAACAGTTTGGATACAGGAGGCTAGGGGAACACATGATGACCTTTGACTATGATACGCTAACATGTAATAGAAGGCTGAATGACAGCAAAGAGGGGAGTGCAGCATCAGCTGAAAAACCAGCAGGAAATGAATTGGCAGAATCATGAGTACTGTAACCATAGGAATAGGAATTAGATCTCGACTCTCTCTTATTCCATCACATGTAGTGTAGTACTGGATCACTGGTAGGGCACGCTACACAGGGATTTTAGAGAGGATGTCTGTCTTTATGAAAAAAAATGACAGTCTTGCAATTATTTTCCCACCAACCCATATTCCCTGATGCATTTTCCCTGTCCCATCCCTGTCTTCATAATGAATTGGTTGCCATGGCTTCAGTTGCCTAGCAACAGACCAGTCAAACGCTCCTAATCCTGGGCTGTTGACAGTGAGCTGTGACTAGGGGGGAGGAGGACCGTACAACATACAGCAGCACTGGAGTGAATAGATATGAGGTGTGTGCACGTACGCGTGTTCTGCCTGCATGGGTGCGTGTACTGTAAGTAAATTACTGTTTGTATGCGGTAGGGAGGGCTCAACAACTGGGTTGCATACTGTGTGTATGTGAGGTGAGAACAAAGTACAAGGGCTTGTTGGTTGGAGTGGTGTACAGTGGACATACATTTCAAAGAGCTGTTACAGTGACCTGTGATTGCGCTCTAAGCCCCATAGACATAGTAGAGATGTTAAATTAAAGTGTCCAGTGACTCCAGAGAGGATCCAGAATAGGACCATACTTATCAACAGGTTTAAAATCTCCTAAGGAGCGTAGGCATACTTTCTCACGCTTCAATTTAACAAGTTAATATAAAAAGTCCTAATTAAACAAGTTAAGGTAATACCATTCTATGTTAATGATTGGGGAATTGTGTCTAATTGGAAACTGGGTTTCACAGCAGATAGGATGACATAGAGCAGGGGTATTCAACTCTTACCCTACGAGGTCCGGAGCCTGCTGGTTTTCAGTTCTACCTAATAATGAATTACACCCACCTGTAGTCCCAGGTCTAAATCAGTCCCTGATTAGAGGGGAAGGATGAAGTGGAACAGGCTTCAAGGTCCAGAGTTGAGTTTGAGAGACATAGAGTCATTCCACTCTTGGCTTAGCTCTTGAAACACTCACCAACTATGCAAGAAAGTGTAGTCAAGATTTAAACATAATTTATGATCTCAAACTCAGTCAGTCCTTGCCTCTCATAATCCACATAGAGCATTTCTACAAAGCCACCTGTGTTGTTTTCTCCCACCCATGCTTGTAAACCAGGAGCGTCAAACTCATTCCACAGAGGGCCTAGTGTCTGCAGGTTGTTGTTTTTTCCCCTTTCAATTAAGACCTAGACAACCAGGTGAGGGGAGTATGTTACTAATCAGTGACCTTAATTAATCAATCAAGTACAAGGGAGGAGCGAAAACCTGCAGACACTCGGCCCTCCGTGGAATGAGTTCGACACGTGACGTAAACCAACACACAATAAAGTGCACTGTGTTGTAACCCAACACTTTTGCCTGTAAACAATAGGGGTGTCTAGCAAGCAGTAGTAGCCATGTGAGTTATTCTTTAGAGTCCTTGATGAATGTATACATTGTAAATCACAATTATTATGGTATGGGGAATGTATGGGGGACATCAATGATAATGAAACATTGAAACTTACAAATTACTTGTGGAACCTTCTTGAATTCAAATCATCCTGGAATTAAATGTTGTTTATAGGCTGCACATTTAGTTGAATCTTGCAGAACCCAAGGCTTTTGATTGGATGTTGCAAAGAGCAGCAGCACAGTGTACAGCCAGCGAGAGGAGAGGGAACTCAGCGACAAGAGAGAGGGATGGGGTGGAGGAAAGAGAGCTAGAGACAGCTAAAGAGGATCGGGTGAAAGGAGAGAGAGAAGGTAGCATTACAAAACAAAGAGAGTGAGAGAGAGTGATATATTACCTTGATGAATAATAGTGTATGTGTATAGAGAGCCCTTTTCTTTGAGGCTCTGGCAATTATATGGTAGTGCCATATGAAGCTAACCTTCATTAATTGAATTATGGAGGGGTGGCTGTTCACTCACTCCAGCGATATATATTTACTGGAAACAAAGCATTAACACAGGGTTGAACCTCCTCATTAATACTTAAGCTTAGGCTTGTGTGTCTAGAGTGCTCAGGGAGAAGGGGCAGTTCCAGGAGGCCATGGAGAGGGAGGGTGATGGTGTGTGTAGGGGCTATGGGAGGGGGGAGCTTCATGCTGTGTGCTGCTACCCTGGTATCCACTCCCCTTTCTCCCTCTCCCTCAGTGAAGCTGTAACTCTTACTATGATGGAGTGGGCAGGTACGGAGTATAGAGGGTCCCAAAGCACAGTGAGTGGGCTGCTGCCTTCCTCTTCACGCAGCAGGGCTCTGGCGTATAACCTCTGAGAACACGTGGAGGGCAGGAGCCACTGGCTCTGACCTTATTTAGTGTACACTGCTCCGGGCCCTGAGCTCAGTCCCTAAAATCAAATCACTTTTTATTTGTCACATGCGCCGAATACAACAGGTGTAGGCCGTCATTGTAAATAAGGATTTGTTATTAACTGACTTGCCTAGTTAAATAAAGGTTAAATAAAAAAATAAAAAATAAAAAAATATAGTGAAATGCTTACTTAGAAGCCCTTAACCAACAATGTAGTTTTAAGAGAATTGAGTTAAGAAAATATTTACTAAATAAAATAAAATAAAACATATAAATAATAAACAAGTAACACAATAAAATAACAATAATGAGGCTATATACAGGGGATACTGGTACATAATCAATGTGCGGGGTACAGGTTAGTCGAGGTAATTTGAACAGGTAGGGGTAAAGTGACTATGAATAGAAAATAAACAGCGAGTAGCAGCAGTGTCAATGCAAATAGTCTGGGTGGCCATTTGATTAATTGTTCAGCAGTTTTATGGCTTGGGGGTAGAAGCTGTTAAGGAGCCTTTTGGACCTAGACTTGGCGCTCCGGTACCACTTGACATGCGGTAGCAGGGAGAACAGTCTATGACTTGGGTGACTGGAGTCTTTGACCATTTTTTGGGCCTTCCTCTGACACCGCCTAGTATATAGGTCCTGGATGGCAGAAAGCGCCTTACGGTCGGATGCCGAGCAGTTGCCATACCAGGCGGTGATGCAGCTGGTCAGGATGCTCTCGATGGTGCAGCTGTATAACTTTTTGAGGATCTGGGGACCCATGCCAAATCTTTTCAGTCTCCTGAGGGGGAAAAGGCATGGCATGCCCTCTTCACGACTTTCTTGGTGTATTTGGACCATGATAGTTTGTTGGTGATGTGGACACCAAGGATGCCTACTTATGCCAGAGAAAAGAGCCTGCGTCTCACGCCACTGCACCGGTTCCTGTTTGGAGAATCCCTAAGCTCCACCAAGAGCTACTTTAGATCCACAACAAGTCTGTATATTCAGATGATTGGTTCATAGAATTTATAGTATAAAGGCATCTGAGTTTATTTGCCTAGTCCCTTGTTTAACATTGCACATCTCTCTCTCTCTCTCTCTCCTCTCTCTCTCTCTCTCTCTCTCTCTCTCTCTCTCTCTCTCTCTCTCTTTCTTGATCTTGTGATTTGCTCAGAGCACCATGATGTTTTGTGTAACCTTTTAAACAGCAGCCCAGTCTTCGAAATGAGCTCCTCCCTCAGTCACAAGCTACTGGATACACACCACATGCCTGCAGCCTCCCCAGCCCCAAATAAATAGAAAGCGCGCGTCGATATATCTGCTGATAATTATTCTGTCAATATCTGGATTGAGCGCCTCTCGAAGAGCAGGCGCTATCCTCGATCTAGAGCTGGATCTCTCTCTCCGTCTCGAGAGCTAGGTCCGTTTTCCTCTCTCTCCTCTCGCTCTCTCTCTCTCTCTCTCTCTCTCTCTCTCTCTCTCTTCTCTCTCTCTCTCTCTCTCACTCACTCACTCACTCACTCACTCACTCACTCACTCACTCACTCACACACACACACACACACACACACACACAAAGGCACATTTTTGCAGTACGTCTACTGTTAATAATTTTAACACCGGGGGGCTTTACTGTAATATCAAATCTATCAGGCCTAAGGTTTTTGTTTATCACATAGATATTGTACATCTTGGGAAAAGCATAATGCATGACCGAGCTCTACTTGCTGCATCTGTACTGATGACGTCAGTCAGATTGTTACAGTTTTTTACAATCACTTTGGCACTAATTTCAGAACCTTGACGTCATTTTTCAAAACTCTAGACACAAAACTCAAAACGGTCATCACTTGTAACACAGGCTGTCCAATGTTCAAAACATTGCATTGTGCATTCATATCTTTAAAGAAATCTTGCACTTGCACAATCATTGGTTTGCACACAAAAAACTAATTTATTGTGAAATACCAATGAAACGTTAATTTAGATCACCCACACACAAGCAACCGATAGTTTCACTGTGTCATTGTTCGTAAGATCATTAAATATTGTAGTACAAAATAGGTGATACATGTTTCATTATGGTACTACATGTAAATACATCCCTGTAAAAGTACTGCAGTAGTAGAGAGAATACTACAGACACAGTGGAATCATTGAACAAAATCTGAAATATATTGATTTAAAACAATACAGTACTGTAAAACATCAAATGCAGTGTTCCTCAACTTGCTTGCTTGTACAGTAAAAAGCAAAACATAGGAGTGATTACTGTACTTCTACATTTTCATCAACTCTGTCTTGTGGTTTTGGCCACAGGTTCTCATCTACATCACAATGAATGTTTTCATTAGCCAAACATCTTGGAAAAAACCTTTGGCCATGGCGAATTCAGGCCTGACACTGGTCTGCCGTGATGTCATTGCATGCGTCATCCATGGCCTGGAGAAGAGTGACTTGTTCATGAGGGCGCCTATCATAAACCTTCCATCTCCATGTGGAGAAGAATTCCTCAATCGGGTTAGGGAAAGGAGAGTATGGGGGTAAATACAGGGTGGTAAATTGTGCATGGGCCTGAAACCATGCTTGCACCATATGAGCATGGTGGAACCTGACATTATCCCACACAATGACATAGGTCACGCCACCAGCTCTACAGGCCTGATCGAGCTCATCAAGGAAGGTTACAAGGGGACCATAGAAACTGTGTCTGATAAAGAATGATGATGAAATATTACATCCATAGATAATGTAGTCTAATTGGTTCATGCTCCACGCTAATTGGTGACAATGAATCTCGTTACTTTGAAACTTTCATGATCTAAACATGGAATATTGTTTGTCTGTTTCCATACAACTATGCATTAAGAGCAATGCAACAGTTACTTACCATTTTGAGCAATTGTATCAATTGATAGTTGAATAATTGTAATGAAATGAATAGACACTCATCTGAAATGTAATGTGTGAATTGCCTTTTGAAATAGTAGTACTTTGATGTTAAGTTGTGTCATATTGAACAGGTGACTTTTGTTAAATGAACAAATGATCTTAGTTTTATGTGTATTGTATCCAAGCAATTGAAAAAAGTGTTAGTGTGAGTTTTGTGTCTAGAGTTTTGAAAAATGACATCAAGGTTCTGAAATTAGTGCCAAAGTGATTGTAAAAAACTGTAATCATTTCACATTTGGCTGCACCAACTGCCCAGCATGATCAACAACTGTTTCCTTGTTGTTCTTCCATCTATGACAACTACTCTACCCAGGAATATGTGCAAATAGTTTTCAGTACGCCAGGTAGCTTAGTGGTTAAGAGCGTTGTGCCAGTAACCGAAAGGTTGCTGGTTCTAATCCCCAAGCCAACTAGGTGAAAAATATGTCTATGTGCCCTTGAGCAAGGCACTTAACCCTAATTGCTCTGGATAAGAGCATCTGCTAAATGACAAATAATTATTTTAGGGAGCTGTAAAAGTCATTTTTGTTTTTACATGTAATGTGTTTTAGAGGTTTGAAACACAAACATTCACCAAAAATAGAATTTTTTGCTAAAAGAACTGGCTCCCTTTCAGGAATTTGGAAAACATTTTAGGAGGAAAATACAACTTATCCTAGGGGTTTAGATAATGCACAGCTGACATCTCTGAGGCAGCACAAAACAAATGGGTCTTAGTCTGGTGGTAAAAAACGAAGATCCACAAGATTGCATATTGCGTAATTTAATATGCCTCCAAAAATACAATCTAGCAATCATAGAACGAGAAGAGACAGTGAAGTTGTGTTTTGGGCAAAGCCAATGTCAGGCAGGCTATGCTTATGCTTCCATGGCTAAAGCGCAAGGGTTGAGTAAATATGTCATCACTGAGTATATGTTGGGCTTAAGAGATGTACTCAACCTATCAAGTCTATTCTGTCGCATAGTCCACTTGTACACACTGGCAATTGTTCCCGTACATGGTTCAGTTCAACGTAACACACTGTGGAGATTCCATGAAACGTAATACCTTTGATTTGAGATACATTTCATACTCATCTGACCTAAAAAACAAGTCTTTGATGTGTTCTTTTACTGTGCATAGTTCCAGTAACTCAGTTAGTGCTGATGTGGGCAGTAACAGTTCTCTACTCATGCTAAGGTTGAAGTGATAGAGAGAAGACATGTGCTCTGTTTTCCTGGGGGATGAGAGTTTTAAGTGCAGGTCTTTGTCTGACTGAGTCTCCAGTCCATGTTTACACAACATAGAAACCACACCTTTGGCTGCTCGAGTGGAAATATGTGACGTGCAGAGCAACAGCCACAAATATTTATTTATCTACACTACAGGCTCAAAACCTGTTCTCATTTTCAATGAGTTATTGGCAACATTGTATTTTATTTTTTGGCAGATTTAACAGTTGAAGCAAATCATATTCACAATCAATATAAATGACAGATTAAATACATTGTAATTAATTTAACGCAATCAAAGCTACATACAGCCTGTATGTAAAATAGCATTCAAAGGATCCTGTGAGATAGCTGGTTCATTGTTTGTTCAGCAGCCTCTTTCTTTTACATATCAATAGGCTGTGTCTCATGTCAGTACGCAAACAAATTTTTTCATTATTGCTTCTTCTCCCTCCCTCCCTCCCTCCCTCCTCTCTACAGAGTCGTATGGCAGAGAGCCTGCGTCTGTTTGACTCCATCTGCAACAACAACTGGTTCACTAACACCTCGCTCATCCTCTTCCTCAACAAGAAGGACCTGTTGGCCGAGAAGATCAAGCGCATCCCTCTGACCGTGTGCTTCGCCGACTACAGAGGTCAGAACACCTACGAGGAAGCAGCGGTCTACGTGCAGCGGCAGTTTGAGGACCTCAACCGCAACAAGGAGACCAAGGAGATCTACTCGCACTTCACCTGTGCCACAGACACCAGCAACATCCAGTTTGTGTTCGACGCAGTCACGGACGTGATCATCCAGAACAATCTCAAGTACATTGGGCTGTGCTAGGACTGGGGATAGGGTGGGGGGAGAGCGGGCTGCTTGGCAGCAGTAGGCCCACTCGCTACCAGGCACGGTACACACAAGATCTGCCTGTCTGTCCATCTCTTTGAGGAAGTGAAAGAAGGAAAGAACCTGCAAGGGGGTTGGGATTGTCAGGGACGGGCTACAGGTTCAACCGACCTGCTTGAAATGTTAGAGTTGAGGGTCAAAGGTCAAGATGGGATTTACCCAAGTTCAGCATAAATGTGTTTGCACTGAATATATGAGTATGTAGAGACACACACACACACATGTACACACACATCCTTATTTTTGCTCACACACAAGGACTTGGGATCAACTGTCAAGCACTTGTTTGACATGGAAACACTGGAAACTGAAGACCGCTTCCCCTGCCCTCTGCCTGCCAAACCTGGGATTGAGCAGTCCGAGGTCTTTACTGTCAGTTTCAAAGTAACCTTTGTCTTTTTAGGTTGTCAATGAATGCTGCTTTACGAGTTGGGTTCACCAGGCAAGGTATGGGGAGATGATGAGTCACAGGTGTCCTGGGAAAATCATAGGAGGACATGACTTACAGGGTTTCTGTCCATAGGAGAAAACTGCCACAGTCTAAAGCTGTAAAGTAAAGTAAAGGGTATTTATCTACACACATTGTATCTCATTTTTTGAGGGCTGAATGGCTCTTCAAGGTTATTCTGTTTGTCTTTCTATAATTCTTAATTCTTTTTGTCAAACCTGCCTTTTAGAGCAGGTCTCTGACTTACCAGGAGAGTGTTACACGCCATAGAGTCGTAGAGTGTTCTCTAAGATCATTCCAGTTTCCAGCAACAAAGACTTAAAAAAACAGTGCCAATTTTAGTGTAAATAAAAACAGATCCCATCAATAATATTACCTTTTGGGTTTTTATTGACAGAAACATTAATAATAATAATAATATGCCATTTAGCAGACGCTTTTATCCAAAGCGACTTACAGTCATGTGTGCATACATTTTAAAACATGCATGATTTTGTTACTTTGGGATATTGATACATTTTTCTTTTGAATTTGTGTTCTGTTATTTTAGATTTAACTAATATATTCCCCAAAAATATATATAAAAGTCAAACACTGTGTAAGATTGTACAGCTGTTGTCTAAGAGGAATTTATTGAAAAGAGTTATATAAATTGAGATGATGGTGATGATGACATCAATGACAAGCTCATTACAAACCCAGCATGAGAACATAAAGTGGGTGGGGGGAGGATAAAAATAAATAATTGAAGACTGCAAAAAATATTAATTAGAAAAAACTAACGTTTCAGTTTAATCCTCCTTGCATTATCTATGTGGACATTGTTATACAGTGGGTTTGATGTGTAAATATACTGTAAGGTTCACTCTGTTAAAACAAACGATCAATAAAAGGTTGAGTTGGAATACAGAGAGAGAGGGAGAGAGAGAGAATGTGAAAGAGAGAGAGAGGGAGGAAAACCCCGCTCTACTCTCCTCCAACCCTCAACATTTCAGCGAAGAGGATGATATGCAAACTCAGCTAAGGGCTTCAGGCTTGACTTTACAGGATGTCCACTTCAACAAAAAACAACCAATTTAGAAGAACTATAAAAAGAACAATAACAAATAAAATGAATTATGCAAATCCTGGTTGTGCAGAGAATGTGTTTTTGGGTGATGGTAATGGGTAGGGTGGGAGTATGCAGGGAAATACATGCTGCTATGTTTCAGATTCACATGAGAAAAGTTTCCACATATCATTCCAGACACTGCGGCTGATGAAGTACTTATGCCACTAATTCTAATCTCATACCTCGCTCCCACTATTTCCCTCCATGAAGTATTTTCCAATTTGTGAGTGGGACATGCAGTTCCTAAACCATCTCTCTCTCTTCTCTCCTAAATAACCATAAAAAGAGCCTGTTCTTTTCTGGGCCACCATGCTGCACTACCAGGGAGGGACACATAATGAACACACAATTAGAGTAGGCAATTCAATTACTGGTAAATTGATTTATGCGATGAGAACTGTGTTGCCTCAGAGACTTGACAGGGTGGCAGAGGCGACTTGGATGGCCTCACATTCCACTCTAATTAGAGCGCAAACCCTGTATGACCACTTCCTACTGCAAATGGTTACACAGGTCACTGTTTGGCCATCCACAGAGCCTCCTCCTTACGTAGAATGTATAGCAGAATCTATACATTATTGCTTAATTAATTAAGCTTGCATGGAAGGATTGATGTGACTGAGTAAAAATAAAGGACAGTGTCTGTCAGAGCCGTGTCTGATTACTCAATCTTAACCCTGACCTAATGACCCTGTAGCTGGACCTGGTTTTAACCTTGTTGAGATCTAAGCCTCAGAGAGAGAGAGAGAGAGAGAGAGATCCACCAAGACTCCTATTTTGTGAGTATGGTTATGGAGTAATAGTAACAGTAACATTGGGTATTTGTTTGAGTTGTAAAATGTGAATGAATTCCAGTGCAAAGAAAGCAGAAGCCTGCTAAAACCACACATTGTGACTGTCATGAGAAGGGATACCAACTGAGTGAGAGACTACAGAACACTTTTGAGTTACTGGATGGGAGGTGAGCTGATTATGGGTGTATAATTTAAAGACATATCGAGAACAAACAGACTTAAAACCATCAAGGAAATATAATTTCAAAAGCTCCAGTACAAAACATATATCTTACATCACATGGCAGAGGCAATAACCACTGTGGTGCTGTGGACACAGTATGTTGTTGGTGGGTGAAGTGGAAACAATGTGGAACAAAGCAAGTGGCAGCCATACATACAAAATTGTTAAGAATTATAACATTGAGGGCCAGAGCAATGTTTCTGGAGCATGCTTTGTGTTTCCATCAGAAATGCTCTTAAGGCATCTACTGGTGTTGAAATGCATTGTGTGCTCACGTGTAAAGCAAACGGCTTTATCTCTATTTGCTTTGTATCTTCTTGTTGTAACTCAGTGGGATCACAACACGATTTTTATAGATGTTTGTGCAATTTGCAGCCTATGACAGACACCTCAAAAGACTCCAGTCGATTTTCTCAAGTGCATTAGTAATAGAAGATGACTGAAGATGCCCTTTGCCAACAGAGGTGTTGAACATACATAATATTTTGATAAAACAAACACAATGGCAGGCCCAAATTCCATGCTGAAAGTCAGAGAGGACATATTAATGTCTATTCAAACATCATCATCCAGCACACCTGTAATATGATCCTCTGCTAAAGTGCTTATCTGCCATATGTGTCTGTCCTGTCTCTGTTACTGACAGGCCCAAATGGCTTTGCAACAGGATAGGATTAATGTTAGGGAGGTGAGGGATGCAATGAAGCCTAATACACTGTCTTACAGTCAATATCTATTGATCAGGGATGAAATGGAATTACACCTTGGGTGAGAAGGAGCTTTTATCTCACATGCATTTGTGTTAGTGGACATTAAAAGGACATTAGTTGGCCCTGACAAAATGTTGGCACACGGTGGCAGACAGTGATCCTGTTAAGACTTCCCTTTCAGGGACCTATTTGACAGTTGGACAATCCTTTATAATTACAAGATAGGGGGATAATGTATTATGTAGGTAGTATGTGGGGAAAAAATCAAACATATTTTGCATGACACAGCAGTATGAATGGATGGCTCTGTATCTGGACCTATGCTGCCTCCCTGTGGGAGAGAGTGGAACTTGCAGCAGCAGTGAGATTCACAGCATACTGAGAAGACACCTGTCTGAGAACAGAGGTGGGATATTATTTCATAAATGTATCTAACATTGCCCACCCCCCACCAGCCAGATAATTGCCCACTCAGAAACAGTGCTTAAGCAGTGAGGCCTCTACATGTCTCCCCCTGAGTGTTTTCCAGCTGATGAGTGACTCTCTATAGCCAATCAATTCTTAATGAGAGAGGGGAATTAAGCCTCTAGAGCTATCGATCATTTCAATGATTGGTCTTATTCACTTCCATCACACAGAGAGAATCATCTGCAGTAACATGGCCATCAAATTCATTTTTCTCTGTATCCTTTTGAGAGCTTGTGTGTTCAACCATACTAACTAGAGAAGAAAGAGTGGGACCACTGTTCTTACTGGAGAATAAAAGTGCATAATACTAGTAACAAAACCAAACACATACTTCAGTTTCATTACTGTAACTTTCCAGGATTCCTCATCATTGCATAGATGGAATAGACTGTAGCTGGTTGCACACAGCCCTATACCCCATTCATAGAAGCTACCTGCCTTTAGCGCCTGTTGATGAAGGTATCTTTTCCCAGGGGACTTTTGTTAAGAGCCCCCGACGCTGTTTCTAGAACCGTATTCCAATTGAGAATCGATTCACGTTTAGATTGAGTTTTTGGCTGTTTTGGCTGCCAGAGCGAGTCTACCTCTGAAGATAACAATGGTAGCCTTGGTAGCCTCACCTGCACTCCTTAAAGGCCCAGTGCAGTCAAAAACGTGATTTTCCTGTGTTTCATATATATTTCCACACTATGAGGTTGGAATACTGTGAAATTGTGAAAATTATGATATTGCCCTTTAAGTGTAAGAGCTGTTTGAAAAGACTACCTGAAATTTCAGCCTGTTTTGGTGGGATGGAGTTTTGGCCTTCGATGGTGACATCACCATGCGGTAAATTTGTTAATAGACCAATAAAAAAGAGAGTTCCAAACCTCTCTGCCAATAACAGCTAACTTTCAGTTTCCCCTCCCCACTCAGACCACTCCCAGAGAGTCCTAGCAAAAATTGTTCATTGAGAAATTGCCCTTTTAATAAGAAGCAATTTTTTATTATTTTTGACCATTTTAATTGAAGAAAATCACAGTAAGGTACTTAAAAGTGCACTATGCATAAATCGCTCCGCCATTTCCTGGTTGCTAAAATTCTAATAGTTTGCCTAATTTCAGTTTATGTGACAAAACAAGGAAGTACAGTGTAGAGAATCACTGTCCATTCTAAACCGCTGTGAAATATATTTTCCATAATA